CACTCATGGGTGCCAAGCTTTCTCAATGAGCTGTCTGTCTCTTGGCCCTTCATTTGTCTTCAGGTTGTCAATTGCAATTTTGATCACAGTTGAGTTTTATTTCACACAGCTGCACTACCAGTGGCATGAACTGGTCTTCAGTGATTCTCTACTCCACCCACCCACCCCCTCCTAATTTTTCAGTCTAGCATCTTAGCTGCTACATTCTCTCACCACCTGTTTTGGCTCCAAATCACACTCAAAGTTGTTTTATTCCAGGCTGACACGTATGGCCTGGATGCAACTCTGCTAGTATCAATGGAAGGAAAAAGATTACCTATAATCTTCTCCTAAGTCATAGAAAAATTATAAAAAGCATGAGCAAATGTAATTTATCACCCTGAGCAAGTGGGCATGTAATTACTTGCAAGGCTGCTTTTAGTTTAAAGCATAGTTTTCTATTCCTGTCCTCAAACGTTTTCCTGTGTAGAAGTTTTGGAGAATTTGGCACATTTGCAAATGCTATTCCAGATCCTCTTGGCTAGTATCTTGGCATTGAAGTTTTAGTTGCCCAATAAACTACAGTGCAGGATGAAGTGGACCAACAGTTAGTGTTTACATAAATTAAACACTCAACTAACCTGTTATAAAATTAGATGTTAATTTTCTTTGGTCTTATCACTATTGCTGGTGTATACTGTGGTCATCACATTACATCCATTCATGTGTTTATTTAAGGGAAACACTAAATAAATTTAACTTTTTAGATTTTTGGATTTAATTTTCCCCTGAATTTCAAAACTCATCTTTACCTCTCCATATATAAGGCCTTTATTATTTTATTAGCCTGAAAGATTTTCTTTTTTAGAAGTTTGGATATTTCTGGGATTAGACACTGGAAGCTATGGAGACTGCTTTTCTCATCAAGGCATTTTGATTTCATGGAAACCTCCACTCAAAGTAGGGAAGGGTTTCTTTAGAGGGTTTCTCAGCTTAGCTATTCTGGGTATGACCCAACATGGTCACTGATCTTGACTGCATTCATGATTCATCTGATCCAGTAACCACCAGCATCTGAATGCATCTCTTAGCAAAAATGTAGGAGAGAGAACTTTGTTGGTTCCTTCTTGGTCGATGGCCTTCACTGCTGGTCCAATCAGTGGACATCCTTATGCACAACACAGACAAATGCAGTTTTCCACACAGAGAACAGTGAACAGGACAATTTCAGCTAAAGTTGGGCATGACAAACAAATTAACCAACATAATTTGCATAGTGGTCAGATTTTAGTTATCTGAATTCGTGAGCATTAGTATTGGTCTATTTCCTCCAAAAGTTACTCCTTTTGGATCTGGAGAGTAGTCTTATAACAAATAGTTATAAATAATGAAGCTGCATTGATAGAAATGAATTCTGTCATTTCTATCAATTTCAAAAGCTATTGAGTTTTCTTGGCTCATCTTTTTCGTACCTGTTGGACTTATCTCTTTCCCCCACCTTATACTGAGGATAGATTGAATTAACCATTAGCTAGACTTAACATACTCTCAGGAACAGATCTGCATTCTGTTTCTAAGCTTTCTATATGACTCATTCTATTTCTAGACTCAGGAAACAAATTAAGTACCAAGAGATCAGCTCCTGCTGGGCTCTTGGTGCATTTGGAAGTAACGTGAATGAGAATAGTGATAATGTCAACTTGGTTGTTAAACATGCAATATGATTAAATAAACAAATTTTGCCAAGCACTCACTACATGTAAGATTGTGTTCTACGCCGACTGGTAACATAGAGTCTTACATTATGATGCCTGCTGTCACCAGTGACCTAGAGCACAGTGGATCTCCTAGAGCATAGAAATTGTCTTCCAGAATGATTAGTTGGCATCAGACTCCCCCTGAAAAGATCTAATGCAATGAATATTTGGGTCACTCTTCTGTGGGCTTGAAGCTTACTGAAGGTCTTGGAACAGTCCTATCCTCTTGAATGACACAGTGCCCTGTTCAGGGCTGCTTTGTGTCAGATGTCATGAGAGGCCTAAGGGCTTCTGGACCTCTGGTAAAACTACTGGCATCTTCCTTATATCTTATGTGCTATATGGCTTAACATGTCCCTTTTGGCAAATGGGCTATAATTGAAAAAAATGATAAGATTGGGACATCAGTGTCCTAAGTAAGGGTTGGGGATGATTTTACATATATTTCTTCAAGATATATTCTTACTCAACACATGTGATTTATAGATAAAGTAGATAAATTTTAAGTGCTTTAAGATTCAGACATTTATATATTGCTTGCATTTTATTTTCTGAATTCCTTCACTCAAAATCCTGAACAATATTGCCTTTGTTATAGAATCATACAATTGTAATCTTTTCTTAAATGCGTACTAAGTTCATTTCTATCATAGAAAAGGAGAAATGTAGAAATCTGGATTCTCTGTTTGCCTCTTATTATAGGATACAGGAGCCTAGTAAAATGCTAATAATATTTTAGTGGGAGAATACGGCACCTTTTATGGCTTAACTACATTTAGGTGACATCATGGCTCCACATGACAACATGAGTTAAGATGAAATATGCTCATTAAAAAACAAATTCCGTCATGTCATGGGTAACTTGTGATCTCTAGCTTTGGAGTGCTAAGCCTTGTATATCATGCCAGGCCCTACATGAAGTCTGTTATTAATAATGGGAATAAATTCCACCCCGTGCCTTAGGTTGCTCATTCACATCACCAGTCAACAGCTCAACACACTCTTTAGCAACAGAAAAAGAGAAATCTAGTACACGTTAATGATTTGAATAATTGCTTGGAAATTTGATAAAGTGTTAACATTCATTTGCTGAAAAGAGGGCCAGTGATGGTTAAGCAATTTCATCTTAAAATGGGTGTGTGCTTATTTGTGTGTATCTGTGGTTGGTTAGCTCCTTGGTTAGAGCGCTGTGTTAATAAAGCTCAGATCAGGGGTTTTTCCCCACGTGGGCCTGTCAACTTCTCTCTTTCAAGAGTCACAGTTTCATCCCTCGCCCCAGCCTGCTGTTGAACACATGTTTACTACTGGCCAATAAGGAGATGAGATTAGAGATCATGCATTGCTTAAAGTAAATTTATCGTCATACTGGAGAAATTAACTCACAGCACATAACCCATATGGGTGGCTTCATAGCATCACTTCAAGGACTGTATCTCTAGGCTTGTGCAAATGGACATGTCTAGATAGAAAGACACCTACACTAGCAACAGTTTCTAATCGGGTCCCTGATGGAGATTCACATAGAGAAAGACCATTATGAAGCAGTGAGTTGTTTGTATCAAAGATTAGTTTAAAGACAGCTGTAGATTTATTATTTTAAAATCTCTGGATGAGGGGATTGGATTAGACAAACTTTAAAGTCCTTCCAGCTTTAAGTCCTTCCAGCTCCCTAGAGTCTCCAAGTGCATTGATTAACATACGTAATGTAAAACAATGTAGTTTTGTAAAGCAAAATTGGCAGGAAGAGAATATTCTCTCAAGAAAAATTACTTTCTGTGAGTCTTCCCTTCAAGCTACCCAAAAAAGGTGATCAAATAGAGCTTAAAAATAATTTCTGGGCTTAAACTTAAAATTCTTTTATCTGGAACAGATTATTTCATTCCACAATTAGAAATGAGATCCAAAATGCAAATATTACTGAGAGAGATAGCACATTGCCTCATATTCACACTATGGTGTTAACAACTGCTATAAGAGCCATTTTACAGAGTAAGTTTGAGAGGGGGAAGCATACCTTATTCAAATATATGAAGATGATTTTACAAATCGTATCCTATTTTATTCTAGTCCTAATTCTGCCAACCCTTCTGGGTATGTAACAGTTTTAAAGACAGTGCTTCAAAATTTGAAGAGAGGAAAAAGTGGAAACAGCTTAAATGAGAATAAAACTCTTAGACTTTCACTAAATACATTTTCATAGTTTTCCAGTTTGTTATATTTTCTTGAGAAGGGTGAAAATGCTTGGAATTAAATGTATAATAAAATATCAGATATATACTGATTTTTTAAAGCTTTGTATCTCTATTTTCCTAAGTTATCTTGGTTTAGATAACTCTCTCTTACATCTGAATTTGGTGAGACATGCTGTTTACTGTCTTATTGACCAGAAGGAAATCTGTTCCATCAATATTTGGAGATCTATTCCATTTGGAGTTCTGTTTAGTCATGTAGAAATACTATTTCGATAGTAATAGAACAAAATTAAGTAGGAGAAAAATAAATTTGTAAATGAACTGAATTTTGAGGCTTCAGAATTTCTGTTCCTCATTGTCCCTGTCCATGGAAACAAGAAAATCAAGACTCCACATGTGGTAAATGGATGCAGGTTGGAGATATAAGTTCTGTGTTCTTGATGTGCATTAAAAAGGGTTACGAGGAGACACCATTACATTTTGTCTAGAAGGTGCTCTTCCTCTGGTTTGACTCCGTCATCCTAGTGGGACCATGCAGGGGAGGCCTCACCTGGGACAGCTGGTTGGACACATGAACCTCCTGAAGTTGTCTGCATAGGAATAGCAATCAGAGAATAAGTCTAGGTGTTTTGCAAAGGACACTTCCTATATCCCTGCAGAAAAGGATCAGTTATCTATCCATACTGCCCAAGAGATGCTAGGCCACTTGAACAGTAACGAGGGCAAAAACCCTTTCACACGTACCTCCCATTACTGTTTCATGGGAACAACTTGAGTCCTATTTATCTGTGAAGCTGAGACTGGCAAAAGCCAGAGTCTCCATCCCAGTGTCCTCCACTGCTGCCCTTGACTGGTGCCAGTGTTTCTGGTTCTCCATCCCATCCCTTGACCTTGAGACTAGATGTCTGCCAGATGCTCCTCTGGCAACAGCAGCTGTTCCTCTTGGCCCATTTAAAGGCCTTTTAGGATTTAGGAACTCCTCAGTAAAATCATTTTATTTTTCTTTTGAAAATTAGGTGACCTGATCTTTGAAAAATTGGTATTCTTTTCCCTCTATAACTATAAACTGGAAACTTCACTCATGTGGGTATGGTGTATTAGAAGACCAGGTTTTCATTCTTCTTAACTTCCCATGTAATCAAAAGAACCTAATGAATTCAAGTTGCCTGTAACATTTTGTGTGTTTCTGAGTTGAAACCAAATTCCCAAACAATCATGTGAACAATAATGAAATTCAGGCAAAGAGGCTCAGTTTTCCCATTGTTAGGAAAGAGACTCTTACGGTGAACTCCTGGGTTCTACTCCTTGTGATTTGAGACAACATAAAATTTAACATTTATTGACTGCATTTTAATATACAAATTATTTCAAAGACCTTGAAGAAATGTAATGGCTGAATTGAGTTTGGGAATAGGACTTATAGAATTACATAATACTTTCATTCTCCCATGTTAAAAACCATACAGCACCCCCTATAGATTACAGTTTAGTTGTAGAGATGATACAATAAAAGAGTCTCTCATACTTCCGTATGAGAATTTAGGTACGGTGAGCAGAACATAATTATACCAATTGGAATTTTGCCAGAAGCTGGGGATTAAAAACCCTTAGTGTTATGAAAAGTTCCATGGGATGTTTAATGACTAGAAATAGCCAGAAGCTTAGATTTATGACATCCAAAAATAGTACCCCTAGTAGGATTAGTCTACTCAGGTCATGCTGGGGCACAGTTTGGGCAATAGTCAAAAAAACTCATTTATTGAATCATAAACATAATTTCTAGCAGCTCTGTGTTGGAGATTGGTATTCAAGCACTACTTACCAACTTTTAGCAGCTTCTTTGGTGTAGCATCCCACTGGCACTCAATAAATGCACAATAATGAAGAAAATGTCAGATGGGCTTGAATGATAATAATGATAGTATAGCAGGGCAAGGACCACAGTTGACTTTACAAATCAGTGATGGAGATGGTTCCACATGTGATGTGATTTCAAAGGCTATGGAAAGACACAAAATATCACCTTGGTTTGGCTTGCTGTTGCCTGCAATTTCACAAAGGCAATTTTATTCTTTTTGATTAATGCTCAATTCCCATTTTAAAGCATATATACTTGAAAAAGTTAATACATAAAATTTAGTTGTCATTTAAATCACAGTATAACATGAGATTTTCACATCCTGTTCTAAGGAGTTAGGGTAAAACTCAAGAGTAAAGAATCTTTAAGAATGACGATATTGGGTGAGTGAACCCCCAAGGAGGAAATGTTTGCAGAAAGGAAAGTATGGGGCCAATAAAGACAAATTTCTCCACCCTCATTGTTATGAACTGAATTGTAACCATCCCACTCAATTTGTCTGTTGAAGCTCTAATCCCCATTACTTCAGAATGTGACTCATTTGGAGACAGGGGCTTTAAAGAGGTAACTAAGTCAAACCTGGATTGTTAGAGTGGGATCTAATCTAATCTGACTGGCCTCCTTATAAGAAGAGGAAATTTGGAAACACTGAGAGACATGAGGTACATGTACCCACAGAGGAAAAACCATGTGTGGACACAGCAAAAAGGCAGCCATCTGCAAGCGAAGGAGGGAGGCCTCAGAAGAAACTGAATCTGCCGACATCTTGAACTTGGATCTCTAGTCTCCAGAGCTGTGAGAAGATAAATTTCTGTTGTTTGGCAGCCCCAGCAAACTAAAGCACTTACCCTTTGTCAGAAGGAAGGCATCTAGACTGCTAGTTAAATCTTTCAGATTCTTTGAGGCTGAGGCTTTTATGGAAAGTGGTTCTAATCTTTCTTGCCCTGGAGAAAAACCCAGTGGATCAGGTTCATCACCTTACATTGATTTTGTATGGCATGATTTAAACTCAAAACATTATCTGGGCCTTCATAATATACTAGAGTGAAAAGAGGCGTTGAGCAGAAGTTAAGTTGGGAATGGCTAACTATGGAGCTTACCAGGTTTATTATCAAGAGGGAGTCGGATAATTCATTTGTACTGGTAGCCATGGTTTGTGGGCCAATCCTCCACATTAATGATGAGGTGCCTGTATCTTCACTACTTAAAGACCATAGGCAATTTGCCACAATAGCCCTCTGTTGGGCACTTCTGATGTATTAAACGAATTTTGGTGAGAGGATTTCAAAATAGTCTTTTGGGGCTATGATAACTTTGGTATCAGCAAGCAATGAAGGGCCTCCTGCATTAATATTATTTAATGTAAATGTAACTACAGTAACAGCAAGTCAGAATAGTCGTGTTTAGTAATAAAACTGCAGCTTTTTAAAAACGCCAACTATTGATGTTCTGCTTGTGGAACCTGGGAGTCTTGAGGGCAAGGATAATTTATACTTGCCAAATCACTGAGAGAAAATTCCAACTATGTGGAAATGTAAATATTCAGTATAAGAAAGGATAATTAGGGATAGGCTAAATATTTACCCAGTTCTTTTCTTTTTAAATCACAAATGCGACTTCTCCTGTTGGTTTAAGTTTTTCTAATAGGAGATGGGTTGGGAAAAAATGGGGAGGGGGTAGTGTCTTTCTTTTCCTAACCAAAATCCTGCAGCCATATAGTCATAAAATCCAGTCCCCTTTCATTTTTGACTTTGAAACCTATTCCCCAATTATTTTATTTTACCAAGATACTGCTAACAAAATTTAGTATGTTGCATCAAAACTATTAAAGATATAACGTTGAATATGAATATAAACAAATATAATTTTAAAAGCAAATTAAGTGGCAATTAAGTAGAATGTGAACAAATTATTTGGAAAAAATCTGCAGAAAATTAGAAGTGTTCAGACATTCAAATGTTCAAGAACTCCTGTCACCATTTTAAAAGAATCTTGAACAGAAGTGCAAAGAAACAACTGTATTGTGGGAGAATTGTCATACAAAGAGCTTCATGCAAAACTTTTTCTTTCTGTGGTTCTTTTCTTTCCCTTTATTCTTCCCTTGATTATATTCTCATGAGGACAGTTTCAAAGGGAATTCTTTTCTCGAGAAGGAAGGTTTTAAAGAAAACCATTCTATCAGTCATGGTCCAGGCAGGAAAACAGAAACCATTCTAGGTATCTCAAATGGAAGAAATTTAATAGAGGGAGATGGTTACTTAGATGATGGAAGTGTTGACAAGGTGATGGTGAGGCAATCCAGAAATTAGAAATAGTGGAAACCACCACCACCCCAATGGTTGGAGGAATGCAAGGAGTAGGTATTGTTTTCACAGCTCAAAGATGAAATGAGGACCATCCTTGGGAAACCAGGACCTGGGTGGCTACTCTCCTACTGGAACTATGACCACCGATGGAGGAGCTTTTCCAATGAAACCAGAATCAAAGAGAAGATAGAATCATTACCAAGAGTGAAAGGGAAAGCAGAGAAAGAGCAGAAAAACATACCCAGACTCATCTCCTTTTTTTTCTCCCAGGCTTCTGCCACTGCCTCCCTTGACCCGATCTATCAAAATGCAGTTGGCTGACAAGCCTGGGAAATGTAATTCCCAGAGACACAAAGCAGAGTAAGGGAAAGTTGGGTAACAGATGAAAAGCAAACTGACAAAAGAGGCACACACAAAATGGAAGTAGTTTTGTTAGTTTGTGTTTCTTCTTATTCAGTTTAGTCTAGTTTCCTCAAGGCCATGGTACACTGAAAGTCACTTGGGGAGCTTATGACAACTGTAGATCTTTTTCTTTTTCTTTTTTTTGCTATGAGATATTCAATGATATAAGTAAAGTCCCTCTGGGCCTCAGAATTGGGAATTCACTGAACACTAATGTGGTAGCTGATACATGGGAAGCAGAGTCTGAGGAAACCAAAACGGTACTTATTATTGACATTTGAGTTTCAGACCCAGACTCTGAATATTCTTTGGAATATCAGCTTCCAACTTGTTACATGACATTTCAACTTTCGCAATTTTGTGCTAATGAACTCCTTTATTTCTGCCTGTCTCATTAGGACACTCCATGCTTTCCAGAAATGCAAGTGAAGTTTAATAGAGATAAAGCCATTCCACTGTTGCTGCTATGATCAAGAAGCTACAATCAATCTTGTTTTCTTCAAGCATGTCATAAAAAGACCCTTTTCCTTCTGATTAGCATTCTTGAACACAGTACAGCTGATGACTTGCTTGAAGTCATTCACTGTAGGGATGCAGCACCTACTGCACGTGATAAAGCGACATAAGGCATATGAACTGCTCATTACAATCTAATTAGTTTGGGCTTTTCATTTCATTTTATGTCCTGAATTGAACCTGATTCAATATGATTCTGAGCTGGAGTTCATCACGTCTTCTCCCTGGCAATGCAAGTTCATGGTGTTTGCTTGCAAGATTCACGGTTATAGAAATGGTTCTTCTCTTTTTGTAGGAACTGCTTAGAAAAAAGCCATTAATATAAAAGGACTGAAGCCTTTGCTGTTACATTTTATTCTGTGAGAGATTTCAGTTTCACCTACCACACATCACAGTTGTTGAAGTATTTCAAGAAGTTTTGACCATTATAATAAATGGACTTACCTGATTCATAGGTACACTTCCTTGTAATGCAATGAGAGCAATAGTCCTAGCCCTTGGAGTGCATTCCAAAGAATGCCTAAAAAAATGAGGAAAACCTAGATTAGTTTTGTTAATGAACTCAATTACATTAGAGGCTTCTTGAGAGCAAGATGTTTTTCATTTTGGGGTCATTTCCAATAACTTTCTGTGTCTCCAACTCTCAGGTAGACAATGTAGGTAGACTAAGTACTCATTGGTTTACCTGATTTCAGTATTTTAGGGGTTGTAGGAAAAGGATGACTGCCATTCTTTTGGAAGACACACACATGTTGTGTGTCTTTATTTTTGGTACAATGGGGATCCAGACATCTGCTTTTTTAACTTATTCCTAGGACGGTTATCTGTATCCATCAGATTCAGTCACAACATTTTTTAAGTTTGAGAAATCATTTAATATGGGTAATGCTAATACAGTCCTAAGTATATTTTGTTTGCTACTCACCTGAGCTTTAAAAATTTGTTGCATCATCTGGGAAGTAAATATTGTGTTTTATAGTCACCTTATAAAATACGTTAGAGCTTTGCAAAACATTGCCCCTTGGTTCCACGCCATGGAACTGCGTTGTAGATGAGGCCTTCCGGACTGAATAATACAATGATTTTGGATAAAGTATATTTCCTCCATGTTACTAAGTTTACCCTGCAAATAAAAATAGAGAGAAATAGTCACACATACCCATAGCTTTGTTGAGAGGATATATTTAGATGATAGATGTCAAATTCCTAGAATTACATCTTTCACAAAATATATGTTCACCATGTTGGTTTTCTTCTCACCTCCCTGCTTTGGAGCAATGTAATTTAATCAGGCTCCTACCCTAAATACCATGGTGACACTCCTTATGGTTCTGTTGATCTAATTCCTAAAATCAACTATGCTCTGCCCAAAATATTTCTTGCATGATGGAGGGGTTTGCTTAATTAATTCAATTTTTATTTCATAGCTGATGACTATCATGTTTATTACCAATGAACTGAGCTTTACTGTTGATTGGATATTTTGAGTGTACTACATAAACCTTTTTTCCCCTTTTGAAAGCCCCTAGAGATGGTACCATTTTTATGATATTTACTGACCCCCTGGTAGAGAAACTAAACTAGGTGAATATCTGCTTTGTTTATTTAGGTTTTATGCCTTAACTGATGGTTCTTTATTTCTGCAATAATTTGTTGAAAGCTTATGGTTAGAGGGTATGTAACCTTTAATTCAGCGATTGTTAGCAGTTTTGTATGCCAGAGAGAGAGTCTGAAATTTTCAGTAGGCCATGGACTCTTAATAGGGAATCTTAATTGTTCCCTTAGTACTCGAAAGCCATCATGACATCTGAGTTATATACATTTTCTTATGCATAACCTTCAGCTCAACATTGAAGTAAGGCATAAGGCATTTGTTTCACACTTCGTACAAGAGGAAGTGAGTTTTTTTTTTTACTTACATTGTCAAGGATTCTTAAGGGATTGGTCTTGGTTAATTAGCAATTAGTAAAATGAGTATCAAGCTCCTGATAAAATATTGTTAGGGAAATTGGGAAACTGAAGCTTACCCAAGCCACTAGCCCAATCTTTAGGGAAGAGAAGGATGTAGGAAGAGAGGGAATCAAGGAGCCAGGGGTGCCCAGAGCTGTGTATGCTGCTATAGCTGCCCGTGTCCTCTAGCACATTATCCTAACCATTCTCTTTCTGCCCGAAGCACAGTTCTAAGGCCCATGAGACTGGAAAGAACTCAGAAATTACGACTTGATTAAAGACTACTGAGATGTTCATATTGGAAATAGAAAATGATATTATGAAAATTGATGTGCTCTTCTTTGTTTATAAAGACAGTATGATTAACTCGCCATCATTTGCATTTGAGCTGACGGCAGGTTTAGGCTGAACTGTCTACACTCTGGTGTAAGGGAATGAATTTGGCAGGCAGTTAAGTACAAGTGATGCTGTCCATGTGATGAAATAGAGCTGAGCCAACTGCCTAACATGGAGTTGGAGCTGGTGACCCTGGCAACCTGAATGGGATGAGCATGCCCAACACCATGTAATAATCAACGTGGCTCTTCATCCATGTGTTAAGGGATATGCATGTAATGTTTTTCAACCTTAGATCCACACAGTTGAAAAATAGAGTGAAATAAAATCTTTGGAGGGCATTGGCCAGTTCCAGTGAACGAACTGTGGTTTGAGGACTTAGAGAAGATTTTATCTCTGACTCTATGTTTTCACTTATGGACTCCATTGAAGAAGAAGGTCCCTTCTTTAATCCTATTGCTCACACTTTCTTCCATGAGAATGAATTTGGAGAGACATGGAGAAATGAGGTGAATTAGGAAGTGTCTTATGGTTTAACAGCTGAAAAATAGGATATGCATTTTATTCAGTCGTTTCTCTCAGACATTTTTGGCCCCACTTTAATTAAATTTATTAGATATAACTACATTTATAATTGGAATGATATGCCAAAATATATAGGTTTCAAATGATGATGATTTTTATATCAAATTCTTCAGTCTAATTCTAATTCTAATTCTAGTTAAATGGCAGGTGACTCTAGGAGAGAGAACATGAATTTTTCAAGGGAGAGCAGTGCAGCTTTACAACCTGACCCTACCACTTAACTGATTTTGTCACCTTGATCATTTAACCTCCATGGGCCTCAACTTTCATTCTCTATAAAATGGGAATAATGCTACTTATATCTAAGAGTTGTGTGTGGACAATCAAATAATGCATGCGAAATACATGGCAAATAATACATATTCAGTATTAGCTTCTTACCTTTTCCTTTCCATGTCCAATTTTTTCTTACACAACTGTGTTTATAGTGTTCCATACACAAATTCTCCTTTGCATCTTCACCGATGGGGAATATTTTAAGAGGGCAACTATATTAAAATTCATTTTTAGAATCTTCATCCTAACCATGCCTTTCTTTACTTAGAAGGCTCCAGTTTTCAATCTAAGAAGATCCTGAGTTCTGTGAGATCTGTTGAAATTTTATTTCTATCTTAGTAGCTGGAGTCATCCCCTGATGAGTTTTAAGTGATTGGGACATCAAATGAAAATGAGTTTAGAAAACTATTTTATAGACTGTTTAGGTATATGTGTCCACAAAAATAAAAATGAAATGAGAAGAAAAGTTTCTTAATCTGTGATATTTAGTGAGTCATTGTCTATAAAAACTTTATAAAGATAGT